AACATATATCGTATGGGAGAATTATGATTTTTATACAGACTTTAACAATCTAAGCCTATAAAAAAATAACTTTAAAAATAAAGTGAAAATTAGCCAACAGAGTCTAAATGAAAGTTATAGATATCGTTGATAGTTGCGCGAGGATATAAAGAACATTGAAAACGGAGCTCGTATGAAGAAGTTACGGAATTTACAAAATATGTATTTTGCGTGTCGTACGCTTCTAGAAGGTGGCAACATGGACCACAGAGAAGCTGACACCTGGCACAAAATCGGCTCGGGAGACGTCGCCTTAAGCGCACAACACGCATCCCTAAAAATCACCGATAAATACGATCAAACCCCCCTAATTTCTTCTACAGACCTCCAGAACTCTCTATCTGGAATTTCTACTTCTTTGGTCCTAGTTTTCCCTAGATTCTAGAAGTTTTAACCGAGCCCTGAGTCGTCGAAGATATAGAAGTGTTCGGGTCGTAGTTCTTCCCGCGACTTTTCCAGTTTTCGCTAGAAACTCTTTGTAAGTTAGGCTACACTTACTACACTTCAAGTGTAACTTACATTTATATCCATTGTTGTTGTTATGGATGTATAAATAAGATTTATCAGTAATTCCATTTATAATGCTGATTGATCTACTTATAGGAGAGGTGTTTAGAATGGTCATGTTGGCTTGGTTGTTGGATTTCAGAAATGCTATATGCCGAAATGGTCCTGCCTCCAAACTTTCCTGCCTGTATGATTCTTATTTTATAAAACTCTCAACATTCAGTGGGAATAGTAAAAGATCTAGCTTTCATTACCAAATTGCCATAGAAATTAATAAGTTATAGTATTATAGGTTAATACTTGTTAGACGCGTTACCAGCCAAATTGGATCGCCAGTAGAATCAGCCTGATAGCTGTTAATCATTTGAACAATTATCTAGGTGAGTTTTCTCACTATATAATGTGCTCCGGTATATATATTATATGTATGTTAGGATATAATTGCCATATAGTATGCCACTAGGCTAGTTTTGTTAGTTGCATGTAGTATTGGATTATTACCTGTTGTATTGTTTATATATGTTGATATACTATGTAGGGAGGTGAGGGCGGCCCTCGGGCTGAAGGCCAATAGACTCGGGCGGACCAACTTTATGTTGAAGGTCATGTAGCGGACCAACTTTATGCTGAAGGCAAAAAGGGGCAGACCACCGACCAGCTTCGTGCTAAAGGCCAAGGGTGGACCAACTTTATGCTGAAGGACATTATGTGTATGTATTGTATACGTATTATGGTATATGATATTTTGGGGAAGTCATTAAGCTTTGTGCTTACCTAGTTAAATATAAATGTTTTTCAGGTACGTCATCGACTCATGTGAAGGACAAGGTTCGACTGTACACACACACATTCACAACATGTTTCCGTATAATGTAATTATACTATGATATATTGAATAAATAAAAATGAAAATTTTGGGTTGAAATTAGGGACGTTACACCGTGGCACGTGAGAAGATAGGAACACAAGAACTTAGACTAGAAGAATAATTTTAATTCTTTGTATTTTCCTTGTTGCATTATATTAGAGTTATATTTTATTGTAAACCCGAGATTAACCTTCGGATATAAAGTGTTCTATTTTTTATAGAATTCTGCATTTGTGTAGAAAACTCTGATATATCTCTTAGATATGTGTGTAGAAAATCCGGGTCGTTACAATTACCGGCTACATGACAGGCTGAAACCGTCGACCGTCGGCAACCTCCCCTCTGCCACCACTGAAAGCTTCAGCCTCTGTCATACGCCAATCCTTAAATAGTAAACCGCATGATTTTGTGTTCTAGACTCGTCACTGATTCCTAAATAGTCTTTATAGAAGACATATTTTGGATCGAAAGTAGTTAACCTAAAAAAAATATAAAAATACTTATATGATCGTTTATTCGGTTATTTAGTTTATCCAAAATATTGAAAATCAACAACAAAAATTCAACCAAATAAGGACATCCGTATTCTATTTACCAAACTAAATTATCCAAAGAATGACTTAAACAATATAACCTGAACCTCATTCAATTCGGATAAATTATTTAGTTTTAGTTTTAGTTTTTACACCCATACATATTATCATATTTATCTCTTCTCCCATTTTAATATCACATATTTATATATTACATTTATAATCCAAAAGAATTCAGTGAAATGGTGCATACCTCTGTGTTTGATCCTTTTGTTTTTACAAATAATAACAATCAAAGTTAAAGTATTTGTTTTGGTCCCATGATGCATTCGGATATAGTATCCCCCACTCCATGACATTGAGTTATAACAACAACAACACACCCAAGAATCTCAATAAAATATGATAACAAAAAGTGAGATGCAATCTGATTTCATATGAGATATAAGGTATGCAATCTTGTGACTATATCCTGAGAAAAAGAGGTAGATCATACATATACAATCTGTAAAAAAAAAAATATTAGTTTTTCAACATTTGCAAGCTGATAACATAAATTGAAATAAAATAAAACCGATTTTTTAAATTTAAAAGAGTTTTTCAACATTGAAATTTAAATAATTATAGCTTTATAACTAAAATATATAATCTATATAACCACAATAACATTTTTTTTAATTTTTTTTTGAAGCGCGAAACATGCAATTGTAATGTTTTTTTGTATAGCCAACAAAAATAGTGTCATCATCTTCAATATAGGGATATGATTGGATTTAAAAAATATATATATTTAATAATTACAAAAAAAACACTACATTAGTTTGTGTCTATTATAATCTTTACTATTTGTGTCTATTATAAATTTCACATAATTTTTTACACATATAAAACCTTATATATTAAATACAATAAACAAAAAAAAAATACAATCTAATATATAAATCTTATTGATTAAAAAAAAATGATTCAATGGTTTTAGAAAAGTGATGGTTTTAATTTTCACAAAATTAATACAAAAATATAAAAAGTAAAGGATCCTTACTTATATATAAAGAATTTAATCATTATTATTGTCCGCAGACTTTGGTTCATGTCTTTTTGGAAAAGAGGACGTGTAGATGTTTGCATGTTTTAACGAATGTTGTCTTTTAAAATACAAACCGTCTTGGAGACGTAAATGTCTTTCACTCGCACACATAAGCATTGAAAAAGAGTTTTGGTGCAATGCCACCACCTTCCACCTAAGCTCCACCTCACTAATTGCCATTCTTGCCATTGCCATTGCATGTAAATTAAAAAACTATGGTGTGGTATTCATGGCAAAAAGAAGGTAAAGAGAAAGAGAGAAAGACACATCCACGTTTTTACCTCCTATTTTCCATCGGCGAATAGTTGCCGCCAACCATTGCCGCCCATCTTTGCCCACAAACACAGGGCGGTAATTTACTCCCACACCCTTTAGACTAAATATAGATAATAATATCTGCATAGATTGATGGATTTTGTCGAGGTCTGATATGTCGAAATATAAACCATAAGGGCCAGCTGGCTATGATAACAGAAAATCAAGGGTCTAGATTAATAAATCTATAACTTACCACAGAACGACGGTGTATAGCTGGCATACGGGAATGATCGCTTTTTCTCTCTTGACAGCCGTCCACCGGAGAGGGATTTTGTGAACTATTCGAGTTTCAGGTGATTTTCCGTTCTTGCCGAATTATATTTCAGTTTTTCTTCATATTCTTTTGTATTTATTTATAATTTTGTTGCATGCATATATACACGATCATTCGAGTGATTTGATACGATAGTTGATTCTTCATGAGATTTGTGTATCTCATTATTGAGTGTGTAGAAGTTCCTTTAAGGTCTATTTTCTTCTTCGTAGAAATTACGATGGCCTCGGTTAAATTTCACAAGATATTCATGATCCTTTAATCTTATTTTCAAAATTTGAGACTTTGGTAGGGTTTTATTACATCGAATAAAGACTATAATTTCTAATTGATATAATGTTGTCGAAAAGAAAGGTTTACACTTGTTTAAAATCCGTCGAAGGTCATAAGTGCGTTTTCTTAAGGTGAAGGAAAGAATATGAAAAGTAATCGCTCAAACATATGAAAGGATATATATGATGTTTCACTTTTACCCCCTCAAATTTATATATTGTCTTATTAAAGAATGGTTTTAGATTTTACTCCAAAGTTAACCCAATATTGCTTCTACCCAATTTTAGACAGAGTAGTGCAGTTTATTATTCTTATCCTTGAAACTTAGAAGGAATTAATTATTTATTTTAAATTTTGAAACTTATTCCATTTGACATAAATAGCCAAATTGATCACTCTCCTTAGAAAAAAAAATGACATATGTATGATTTCTCATTTCTGAAAATATGACTGGTCTTCTTCATAAGTTTGAATTCAAAGAAAGGTATCTCTGCAAGTTTTTACGTTATTTTTTTTATCAGTGATTCCAAAATCAGATCACTCTATGTCACATGCAAAAATGTTCTATCTTTTTTGGTGCTTGCAAAGCTTTCAATTTTATTTTTCCAGATTTTCATATAGGAATGATTAAAACCACTTTTGTATGCTTCTGCATTATCAACATTAGTTTTCCTTAATATACAAGTGGTATTATTTCCTTGGAGTATTTACCTTCAGAAAAGGACAATTATCCAAGAAGATGGAGTATATAATAAATCAGATAGAAGAATTAATTTATGTTTTCTGTGGCACATTTTTCTTAGACTTAATTCCACAATGAGGAGACTTTTTGAAAGGAGAAACTTTGAAGGATGTTAATCTAACGTCGGCTACTAGTGGGTCCCAAAGACAGAAAACAAAAGACGCTTTTAGACTCTGTGAAATTTAGTGCTGATTTAGACAAGTATTTGAAGAGTAAAGCAATGGTTTCCTAAAAAATACTTGAAGCTTGAGCATGTAGAAAATCTAACACCTTCATGTACTTTTAAGCAAAGCCAGGTACAACTATATCATCATTTATAGCGCTAATCTATACATATAAATTAAAATCTCATGTCTTCTTTTGATTTATACAAATCTATCAGTTTTCTCAAACTAACAAAACCTTTTAAAGCATGGGCAAAATCGACTTTTTTTCTATTCTTGTTGTTTTGTTATTGGTTCATGGCACTCATGTTGCAAAAAGTTTATATGGTTTTGATGAACTTGAAAGTTTGGATGTTGAAGATGATGAAATTGAGTTCTTGGAGTTGCCTTCGTGGTCAAGTCAACATGGTAGCAAGGTTATGATCAATGTGGATAGCTTTGGTGCAGTTGGAGATGGTGTTTCTGACGATACAAAGGTGAATATGTGGAAATGTCTAAAATACCCTTCAAGAAATTGTTTTGTGATATGAAATCTCTAAAATACCCTTTTCAAGAAATTATTTTTATAGCAGTTTCCATAACTTTTTGTTTGTGGAAATGGAGTTTCTGATGATGCAAAGGTGAATATGTGGAATGTCTAAAATACACTTGGAAAAAATGTTTTGTGATTTGAAATGTCTAAAACACCCTTTTCAAGAAATTAGTTTTATAACAGTTTTCATAACTTTTTGTTTGTGGAAATGGAGTTTCTGATGATACAAAGGTGAATATGTGGAATATCTAAAATGCCCTTCAAGAAATTGTTTTTTTCATCCGAAATATCTAAATTACCCTTCAAGAAATTGTCTTCATTTGAAAGGTCTAAAATACCCTTCAAGAAATTACTTTTATAGTAGTTTCCATATCTTTTTCTGTGTGGAAATGGAGTTTCTATGACACAATGGTGAAGATGTGGAAATTACTAAAATACCCTTATAGAAATTGTTTTTTCATTTGTCATACCTTTTGCTACGCAGCATGTAACTCACCAAGATGCTTCCTAAGCAATTGTTTTTCATTTCCGAAATGTCAGTAATACCCTTAAAGAAAAATATTTTTTTAATCCAAGTTTTGATTTATTTTTCAGGCATTTGAAAATGCATGGTCAAAAGCCTGCTCTACAGCAAAAGCCGTACTTTTGGTTCCTCCTGGTCGCTCTTATCTTGTTAATGCAACAAGATTTAAAGGACCTTGTGCTACAAAGTTAATTGTTCAGGTATTTCGTTTTAAAATTTAAATATGGAAAGAAATATGTAGGATATTTTAAAATTAAAGCTTAACTATAGTGTTGGGATGGAGATAATGTAGTTATTTAAAAAATTGAAGCATTTCACTCACTATTCACTAACATCTTCTAAGAATTGTTTTTTTCATTCGAGAAATACTTAAAATACCCTTCAAGAATGACATAATAAGGGAACCATCACAACCATCTTTTGTAATGGTGACATTGAGCAAGATTTAAAAGTTTTTAAAAATAGAAATGTTGCAATTTTTCTGGAGGGAGCATACATTTTGAAGATAAAATACTAAAGATCTTATTCATTTTAAAAATAGAAATGTTGAAATTTTAACGAGGCATCTCTTGATCGAAATTTACGCAATTTGCGTAAGTTTTTTTAGTAGATAATTAATAAAATGATAAATATAATTATATACAGATCGATGGAACAATCGTAGCTCCAGATGAACCCAAGAACTGGGATTCGAAAAATCCTCGGAATTGGCTTCACTTTTCTAATCTGACGGGAGCCACTTTCCAAGGACATGGAATTATTGATGGATCTGGCAAGAAATGGTGGGCTGCATCTTGCAAAAAGAATAAGACAAATGTAAAATCTTTATTCTTTCCGAAAAACTCCAAGTTAACCAAGATAAATATATTATTAACTCATAATTCAATATAACCGATAAAAATCATGTTATTGACATACTTTTTTCTTGTTTTACAGCCTTGCGTAGGAGCACCAACGGTAAGAACTTAAGGACCTACTTGATACACAGACTGTACACAGTCTGTACTGCGTTTAACATGCATTGGACTTGGACTATGACTTATTTCAATAGGTTACGTTTTTGACTAAAACCGAAACGAACCAAAAATTTTGGTTTTTGACTTTGAAAAATTGGATTAAGGTTTTTATTTTAATGTTTTTTCATCAACCATGCCAATAAGTTTTTTAACAAAAAAAAACAAGTAAATTTACTAAAATATAATTAGTGACGATGTAAACACAAGTTCGTTATATTAGTTATTAATGAAAACCGTAAAAGCATTTTAATTGCTTTAATTTTTGACATACTCAATCGTTTAAAATTAAACATAAATCAGTGTCGTTTTGGGTTTTTCGGTTCTTTTTTTTTTTCTCGGATTTTATATAAAAAAAATCGACTGAATTTTTTTTTTCTTCTAAAAATAAAACCTACAAACAGTTTGGATTTTGAGTTTTTCAATTCATCCCCATGACCAAAAAATACCCTAAAAAGCTTGTAGTCCAGTCATGTCCAGTGTAACAAACACATCTTATATGTGGTTTCTGAACAGTTTGAATGAAATTTATATAACATAGAAGATTGTATGCAGGCGTTCACAATTGATCAAAGTTCATCTATAAAAGTGCAAGGTCTTACTTTCCAAAATAGTCAACAGATGCATTTTGTCATCTCTCATTGTGACTCTGTGCGCATATATAGTGTTGTAGTTTCTGCTCCTGAAGATAGTCCTAACACTGATGGAATCCATCTTACTGGATCAACCAATGTCGTTATTCAAAACAGCAAAATTGGAACAGGTTTTTTTTTTTTTCAATTTTTTCTTGTCTTTCATGTTCTATAATATATGGATATAATCATTTAAAAGCTCCTCTCGTTACCAAAAATACATACTCCAGGTTAGACTACTATTGTTATAATATAGTGTTCAATGCAAGAAATAACAATGTATTTATATTGGTTTGTTTACTAAAGAATCCTACTTTTGTTTTCTCCTTATTGTAACATTCTACTTTTAAAATTCTACCCAATTATAGAAATGTCATCTAGATGCAAAACAATAATTGGGAATATATTTTCGAAGTATAATTTCGTAATAAGATAATATGCGAAAGTATTATGTTGTAATAGAAAGAAATGATAGTATGATGATATAATACACAATAAATGAAATTACGTTTCTATTTCTTTCCTCTTCCTTATAATTATTTAGTTAAAGTTTTACACTAAAAAGAGATACCAAAAAGAATCTGAGGGTATTTACGTCCATACCCTCCTTTGCATCATTGCATGTAGGTCAGCCACTAACTCCTATCCACTAAATTGCTAAATTTCATCTTTTTTGCAACTTTTTAGCCTAAAGTTACCTGATATGGGTCCACAAGATTTTTTATTTTTTATTTTTATTTTGTGAAGGATCTTAAGCCATTGACTATTAGTCAAAATGTTTTTTTCTTGACCTTAATTTAAATGTTACAATTCTTATGAGACTAATAAGACATATAAATGGTTGATTTTAACGTCTAACAGACTACTTTTAACTTCAAAATCGATATGAAAATTCTTTAAATGTAATAACTATGATAAACTTTATAAAACAATCAAGTGTCAATATACTTCAAATAGAATCCAACAAATATAACATTTGACCTCAAAAGTCAGTGTACTAACCGTTTATCTATTTTCACACATGTTATTTAGGTGATGACTGTGTCTCGATTGTGAATGCTAGCTCAAATATCAAGATGAAGAATATTTATTTTGGGCCCGGTCATGGAATCAGGTGTGTTTTGATTTCTAAGAATGTTAAATGAATATATATTTATATAATATTTAATGATTAAATCAATAAAAAAAAAGGGAATACTTATTAAAGATTTTGGTGTTTGCAGCATTGGAAGCTTGGGTAAGGATAACTCTACTGGCATAGTATCAAAAGTAGTCCTGGATACAGCTTTCCTTAAAGGCACTAGTAATGGCCTCAGAATTAAAACATGGCAGGTACTTACATAATAAATATAAATATATTAGTTATTATTAAAAAAGGTGTGATTAGAATAATGATTCAATTATTTTAATGAAGCAATTTAGGAAGTTGCAAATACTAGAGTATATTTTAGATAACTTTAAAATGGTTTGACCTTTATTTTATTTTTTATGGTAAGTTTTATAAATAACTAGTTTATAACTCGTGGGAACCACGGTTATAAAATTAATTAAACTTTTATAATAAAAATTTATAATTATTAATCAATTATTTTAAATAAGTCATTTTAAATAAATTATTAATTAAGAGATATATCAAAAATTTAAAGTTATTATAACTTCAAATGTAACATATAATTAGAAAATGTAAATTTGAATTTTGAAATAAGTTGCCTAATATATCTACATGACACATAACATAATATTAATGAGGAGTTGTATTAGAATGACACTTGACAAAAGTAGATTAAAACTATTCATTTATTAGAATAGGGATATATAACACAAATTGACCAATTTTGATTAATAGACTTATTACTTAAATTGTTTGTTTCTTTATCTGAATAACTCTTACTTATTCAACTTGCATTTTAATGATTTTGATTAATACCTAAATGTAGGCCTGCATCAAGTGAACTCTTATTTATATTTAGACAAAAATATTTTCTTCTTCTTGAATGCACACACATGATTGATAGAAGAAACACAATCAGAAATCAAATATTATTTATATTAATTTTGTTTATTTGTTCTTGGGTTGATTTGATTCGATATTTTTTAGATGAAAATCATCAATTTTTAAAATTTATATCATGTTTTAAACATAGGGAGGATCAGGTTACGTTAAAGGTGTACGCTACCAAAATGTAAAAATGGATAATGTAGCTAACCCCATCATAATCGATCAATTCTATTGCGATTCACTTAAAAGTTGTCAAAATCAGGTACAATTTCTATCATATCTTAATTTTCAACATTTTACATTAAGAATAACAAAAAACTCTTGAATCAACTTTTTTTTTTTTTGATTTTTTTTTTCCTTCTACAGACGTCAGCTGTGGAAATAAGTCAAATAATGTACCAAAACGTCACCGGATCATCAAAAAGCACAGACGCAATGAAATTTGCATGCAGCGACACTGTGCCCTGCAATAACATAATTTTAAAAAATATCAATTTACTGAAGCTTGACGGTAAAACAGCCCAAACTTATTGCAATTCTGTTACAGGAATTAATTATGGACAAGTTCAACCTTCAGCTGACTGTTTGACTTCTTCTGATAAGTCGTCTATTGAAGAAATTGAGGTCAATGATGATGAGCGCTTGATTCATACCGAGCTTTAGCTCGATTTCCTCGAGTCTTAGGTACTCTAGAGGCTATTTTATATAGTATATATGAGCCTATAAAGATAATGTATAGGCTCAACAAATTATATAGATACGATATGTGTTTTAAGTTTTGTGAAATCTTGTAACAAATATACTAATGTCGAATGGATTTTCTATCTTTTTGTCATATATTGTCATGTTATGGTTCTCCATAAGAGGTGTGTCAGCCAGTCAGATACTCAAATATCTAGATATCATCTTCTTTATTCTGGCGACATTGCGATTTATCTTTCACATGTTAGTTATGGGACTAGTTTGTGGGGGACATTGGGATTTATATTTCTCATGTTAGTTACGAGACTAGTTTGTGGGGGACGCCTAAGGTGGTGTACGCCAAAAAATATGGTCATGTTTAATCAATTCGACAGTTTCGTATTTTAGGGTTTTTATTTATATCTTTACATTGCTTGACGTGAGCAAGAAATGATTAAAACGTATAGAATAGCGAGTGAAAAATTGAATTTTTTTTTGATGCAAATGAATTAAACCTATATAAGTTTTACTAGACCATTGAGTTTTTCTTTAAGGACAAGCTACACATGACATTTAAACTGCCCATGCTCAATGAGTCTTTGCTTGAGTTTATTTTCCTTTGGTTTTCATATGATGTTACAATCACTCTCTGACTCTTACTATCTACTCAATGCTCAGCTCTTATTTATAGGAAACAAGAAGTACAAAAAACACTAAGGCTTAGACATTAAGCTTCGTACATGTGACACCTTAGCAAATACATAACAAAACATACGAAGAGAACAATTAAACAGACTTCGACTGATTACAACATATTTCGACCCTACAATCTCCCCCTTTGTAATCAAGTCGAACTTCTCAAGGTGAGAGAATCTGTGCAGCAAACAACATCACTCTTCGTATCTCCATATACCATGAAATAATCTTCTTTAACTCCTTCTTATCCCCTTGGTTGTTTTTCGAACAGTTATTCATACGAACAATAAAGTTCGTATACTGGGATGTAGTGTACCTCTCCACTTCGCATGCCTGGAATAAAAATCTTTTAGCCTTCCCATCCTTATCCTTTCCTGCGAAGACCAATCCAAATGGTTTTAAGCAAATCTCCCCATCTGCATATTTCTTCAACTCAACTTGAGTCTTCGTGACTTCCATAGGAACTTTTACTTCCAACCCCTTCGCAGTAGCCAACTCCACATCAGTAAGGGCCAAACACTCATAGTAATTATCTATGAATATTTTGATGTGGGAAAGACCAAGTCTAAACACTTCTGGATCTGTTCCTTGAAGATGCGAAGCATTCTTGTCTTTCAAAAGCATTGCAACTTGTATAAGATCATACAAGTTCATTAAAGGAAAATCAGCAACAGAGAAATCACAGATTTGACCATTCGCCCTTGCAACATGAAAACGAAAAATTATGCATCATGTTCTCGAAGAGAACATCATTCGTAATACTGATCACCTTCTTTATCTTCATCAAAGACCATATCTCCTCTGGAACTTTCCCAAGAACAGCATGAAACCTAAGTTTCATATAAGTGTAGTCATCATCATTATCAAACTTTTCTGCAATCCTGTACTGAGCCATTATGAACATCATTTCGTTCACTGGAAAATCTAGCTGGCTCATATCCGTATTAGTGACAGCATAACTTTTCTTGGGATTCTTCTCAAAAGCATACATGTGATTGAATGCAACTTTTGCTTCGGTAGTTTCGTAATTATAATGCTTGCTTGGATCTCCCTTATCCATTCCAGGTGGATCACTCGCACGAAGTCTCATAATACTCTGAATAACCCTTAGTTTCTCCATTTCAGCTTCAGCTTCAGCTTTCTTCTCTTCTTTTGATTTCTCCACAACAATCGTTTTCCCTTTGTCTTGTTTCGAAGAATCATCAACAACTTTCTTTGGTTTTGAACTACTACCACCTTCAGCTGAAGAACCAATCACAATGCCTTTGGCAATTGGCTTTGTAGTTATCACTGTCGAACTCACAGGACCAACAGTTGAAACAATTGGCTTTGTTGTTGGAATTTTCGTTGTGAAAACTCTTCCAACAACCTTGACATCTTCATGAGAAACTCCATCACCAACCTTCCTTTCTCCCCCTTGCACCCCTGTGACAACAGGCGGGACATCTGTTGGTAATAAATTCGAAATCTTGGATAACAGAGCTAATTGTTTATGCAGAACAGCTTCAAACTGAATAAACTTCTGGGACAAGAACTCAGGAGTAATGAGCGAAGATGTAGCAGGCTTGACAACGAGTGATTTCAACTCCCTTAACAAACTAATAACTTCCACGAAGCTTTGACTATCATTCGTAGAAAGTTGAGTAATTTGAGGACTCAAACTTTCGTACAATTTAACAAACTTTGTGACTGCATCACAAATAATATCCATCTACTGATTGAGAGACGCATAGTCTTTCTGAACGCTAGCAATATCTTTCACCATGTCTTCACGAAGTTCTCGAATTTGCAAATTAACATCCTCCCTTACCTTCTTCACATCTTGAACAAACAATACATGTCGTTCCTTAGCCAACCGTCTAAAATCTTTAACTTCCCCCTCAAATCTCGAAGATTGAGACTTCACCCTCAACTCATTATTCTGATCATTTTGATCTACCTTCTCCATGATGCGTGATTCAGATTCTTTAATCAATCCAGAACATTTGGTAATCATTCTGGCTTCGACAACTTTGAGCAGACCATCAATCTCCATACTTGACACCGAATTACTTCCCCCATATCAGCTTGAGATTGAATAATTGAATTCAACTTCTTGTTAAGAATCTTGAATTGCTTCATGGACATTAACATGTGATCTGGAAAATTTTCTTCCTCATCATCAAATTCAAAATCATCAAATGTACCTCCAAAACCACCTTCGCCAGTATCAGTTTCAGGTTCATCAATAGATTTGGGTGGATCAGTGGATTGGGATGAGAAAAGTGTGGTAAATGGATTTTGGACAACATGCTCAAAAGTAGGTGATTTTGTTGTGTTTGAAACAGAGATGATATAAGGGGGTAAAGAAGCAGAAGTATCCATGTGCGATAATGCAGGAATACCTTGGGTTGATAATGGATGCTCTGTATGCGAATCTCCTTCACCCATGTTGACATTTACACCCGTATCAGATACGTTTGTAGTGATGTCTGAAGTTCGAACCTCCTCAGTAACTGACTAGGTTAATGAAACTTCGAGTGGTATGACCTAAGTCTACTCAGGAGTCGATGTTGGTTTGGAGAGAGTAGCTTCGGGTGTTTCAGGAACTTTCTCACCTTCGGACGATACCTCTTGAATAACCAACTTTCGTTTCTTAATCTTCTTCTTAGAAATATGCTTTGCCACATCTTCAGCTCTTCGTTTCTTTGACGAAGGAGAAACAGGAGCTGGAACCTCACGAATAAGAACCCCTTGATGATTAATATGTGGTTTACGAACCATGGTTGGAGAAAACCTAGAAGATCCGTCTGTAGACTTTCGTGAACCACAAGCTTTCTGTTTTATTCTTCTAAAAACACCAGACTTTGATGGAATTGTTTCCTTAGCTTTTTCATCAACAACAGGCTCAACAGGCGTTGTCAAAACATTCGAAATTTGGTCCTCTGTCGTAGACTATTTCTTTGTAGACTTCTTTGGCTTGGGTTCTTGCACAGGCTTCTCAGGAGTGGCCTTTGCATCCTTCTTCGACCGTCTTGATTTCTTAGAAGGACCAACATCCTCTTTTGATAACAACTTTCCTGTTTAGTCATCAGGATTAATAGACTTCAAATACTCAACTAATACCGAGTTGGTTGGATCAACACGTTTTAACATTGCATCAGGGATTCTAGCAATGATTGAAAACACCTCAGCATCATCTGTAACCTCCTTTGGAAAGTGATACTTCAAGAATTCAGCTTTATCTTCATCAGCTGGCACTTCAATCCCTTCTTTGTCATAAACATGACGAAGAATCAAACTCCAGTATCTTGCACATGATATTCCTTGAACCACATTGGTGTTCTCCACACTTTTCTGAAATTCCTTCCACATCTAAGTAGAATAATCAACCGGAATATCATAGTAAAGGCCAGCAACCATGGCATATACCTCCATTCTTCCTTTATCCAATCCAACACTGCGACCAGTCAAGCAGCGTAGAAAAATACCAAATAAAAATTCCAAATACTTGGAAGTCCAGACTTCTTGAAATCACTGATCTTGGTGAGTGGGGGTTGATGACCCATCTTATTGAACATATAGATTATTTGAGCAAACGAAAGATCAGTGTACGGTGGAGAATTAGGAATTTCAAGAATCTGACAGAACATCTTCTTGGATATACGAATCTTCTTATCGTTTACCAGATTAAACGTGATAACATCCAGAGCTTTGCTGTATGATGCAGTAGATCCTGCTATGGAAAGCCAGGATAGAGGAACAACAAATGAGTTGAACATGACAGTAGAAAGAACAGAGCTTTTCAAAGCGACAACCAACATCTTCAACTCTTCTGGATACAGTGAAACATCCCCCTCGACTTGATAATTGGTGCTTTGAATCTTCATAATCGGTTGGGAAGTAATATCTTCAGTTGTTTGTGATGTAGCATCGACACCAGCAGGAGTAGCCATGATTAGGGTTTTTAAGCTTTGAAGAACAAATTGATTTTGCAGAGACAATTTGGGAATTTTTCTTTTGTGAGCGTAAACTGATAAAGAACCCTTGAATCCCCTTTTATATGTAACCCTGGAATTTGAATTTAAAGCGGGATAAGCATTAAATGAGATCCGACGTGGCACCTTGAAACTCGCACCACTATGCCGATAAAGTAGCCATGCGTCAAAAAGTAACTGCCACATCGCCTTGAAAACTGGACTGAATGCAAGACGTCTTGTCAAACAACCTGTTCGTTTATCCCAATAGAAGTGTAACCGTCACGAACCTTCGATATTGAGGTGAGGCTCTTTCCTCTTTGGGTTTTA